GAACAACGAACGAACGAACGAACGAAAACGAACGAACGAACGAAACGAACGAACGAACGAACGAACGAACGAACGAACGAACGAACGAACGAAAACTAACGAACAGAACGAACGAACGAACGAACGAACGAACGAACGAACAACGAACGAAAGAAAGAACGAAAACGAACGAACGAACGAACGAACAACGAACGAACGAACGAACGAAACAACGAACTAACTAACGAACGAACGAACGAACGAACGAACTACGAACGACTAACGAACGAACTAACGAACGAACGAACAACGAACGAACTAACGAACGAACGAACGAACGAACGAAGAACGAACGAAACGAACGAACGAACGAACGAACGAACTAACGAACGAACGAACTAACTAACTAACGAACAACGAACGAACGAACGAACAAACTAATAACTAACTAACTAACTAACTACTAACTAATAACGAACTAACTAACTAACTAACGAACAACTAACTAACTAACTAACTAACTTAACTAAACTAACTAACTAACTAACTAACTAACTAACTAACTAACTAACTAACTAACTAACTAACTAACTAACCATACGTGTGCCATTCTAATTTTATTCAAATTTTCCTCAGTAAAAAAAATTTTATATAGAGTGTCTTAAATCCATCAGTTCTAGAATAGTCTTCTTGAAGTGTAAATTATCTAAATTGTAGGAGGTATTATGCATCTTCCTCCTACTGGCATAATTCTATTATTGGGTTTACGCTTCTGTGTCATGTGAAAAACGTTGTGATCTTTCATTCCAGCCAATTGGTGCAAAAATTCAAACTTCTGAATGCAAACAGTTGGATTGTACCTTTTCAAAAAGATTGTTATTTGGAATTTTACACGTGCAAAATTTGCAAGAGAGGTAAGTGGACCCCTTTTTTATTTGAAAAATATAGTTATTTATTGATTTGTTTCTTTTTCCTTAGAATTGGAACAAAAGACGGAAATTTGTACTAATAGTCCTCCTGAATGTTATGACATTATTTTGAATACAGTGATTCCAGAAGAACCCTAAAAAGGTTTTAATAAAGTTATTTGTTGATTGATTGATACAATGATAAATTATATTACCTTTTAGGTGTCTTTTTGGGTTTATCTGTCCCTATTTGATTACATCTTGAGAGGGATGTTAGACTAGGTTAAGAAGGGTTATCTATCGCATAAACTACTCCCCTCAGAGACCATATGTTTCATTGTGATTCGCTTCGTAGAAAGTTAAGACGTTAAGAGTATAGATGAATGCAAATAATTTAGTCGATTCCCTAAAAAATAAATGTGAGAGACACTGAGTCACCCTTATAAACCCTAGTCGAATAAATGACTAATTCTCTAGTAGACTGCGCGGGTTAAGTCCCTCAATTTCCACCAGTTCTTCGTGTATCATGTTTCCCATCCATTTCAATCTGAGATTCTGTATTCTTGGACATGCCACGATCTTCCTGCCTTTTGATTCAAATAACTTTAGAATTTCGTTAACTGCTAGTAGCCATGTCCCGTACAATGACGCCCTAGGTTCGAGTTTATAATTCTGTTGTTAAGCATGCAGACTATGCGCTTCACCGGGAAATCCTGAAATACGAGCTCTCCAAGCAAATCACTTTAGGAGACGGAGAAATTCTGAATCCATTATGTTACAGTCCTCTGCTTCAAGTCTATTATTTTAAAGCTTAATAAGGAATAAACTTAGTAAAAGAATGGTTCATGATCGTAAAAGCGATGCATAGGTAGACGACGATATTCATTCAAACATTCAAAATCGGAGTTATTTTTTTTAATAAAGGGACTTACACTATTTCTCCGAGTAGATTCGCTAATATAAATCGCTTTCGTCAAACATGTATGGCATTTGGAATTTAATAAAACTTCTAAAATTTCTAGTATAAAGACACCACTCAATCAAGTATATAAAAGGTATTCTAGCTGACATTTAACGCTTTAATACTATGATATTATCACGCCCCCTTGTACTACACCGCTGCTCTGGAATACTTACGGCACAAAATTATGCATAAAATTTTGCATTTAAATAATTTCACGGCATACATACGTGTTCCATTATAATTATATTAAAATTTCCCTCATATATAGTTTTATCTACAATAGCGATGAAAGTGCTTCATGTCCATCAGTAACTTCTAAAATAGACTTTTTGTAGTGTAAACTATTTCTAAATTTTAAAATGCATCTTCCTACTACTAGCATAGTTCTATTATTGGGTCTACGCTTCTGTGTTATGGGTGAAGACGAATCAAATTGTCATAAAGCTTGTGAGCTTTTAATCCAGCCAATTTGTGCAAAAATTCAAATTTCTGAAGGCAACCATTTGGATTGTACCTTTCCAAATGATTGTTATTTGGAAATTTACACTTGCAAAACTGGCAAAAAAGGTAAGTGGAGAGTTTGTTTATTTGAAAAATATATTTATTTATTATTTTGGTTTTCTTCTTCTTAGAATTGGAACAAAAGCCGGAAATTTGTCCAAATAGTTTTCCTGAATGTGGTGACATTATTTTGAATACAGTGATTCCACAAGAAACCTAAAAAGGTTTCAATAAAGTTATTTGTTGATTGATTGATTGATACAATGATAAATTCTATTACCTTCTAGATGTACATTTGGGTTTATCTGTCCCTATTTGATTAAATATTTTGAGGAATGTTAGGTTAGGTTAAGAATGGTTTTGCACCATATAAAGGTGCAACTCCACTCAGAGACCATAATGTCCTTTGTGATTCCCTTCGTAGAGAGTTAAGAATATTTAAAGAGGATAGATGAAGGCAAATAAGTCAGTTTCCAAGGGGTTTCAATCCCTAAAAAAGAAATGTGAGAGAGTCTCCCCTATAAATTCCCTTGATGAAACCTTTTAGACTGCGCGAGTTAAATCCCGCAATTTCCCCCCGTTTATCATGGAGCCTGTTTCCCATTTCATCCTGAGATTTTGTATTCAAGTTATAGGCTCGATCTTCTCTTGTTCCTTTGCATCCTCGCATAACCTGCAATAGTGTCACACTTACAGACAAAGTCCCTAATCAGAATCCTTAGACTGCACTTATTCAGTCCTATGTATATGTATATTGGTAACCCTCACATCAAGCCATAAGGCCTTTGATATTTTGCAATCTATTATACTATTACAGGACTGGTAAATGATGTCACGAATTCTCTCGAATATCAACCTATAATAGTGACAAATAGGTTGTCTCACTATCGATTCCACGTCATCTATATGAAGGTTCGATACTAAGCTAGCTAATTATCGTAAAGATTTCAGCTTGGAAGCATCTTTTTATATCGACATCAGCGATATAGAGTCGTAATACTATGATCTGTAATTCCAGTTACAGGAAAAGTTACCATGATCAAGTAAACCTACCTTGTTCAGAATTTTTGCGTGATTGTCGAAGATTTTACTAACGAAGACTCATTGAGTCCTAGCCGCTACACTCGCTACAAAATATTCTATAGATGACAGGTAAATAATAAAGTCCAAGACCGCTTGTGGGGTACTACTAATGGCCCCACTATTGCCAAGAGAGGCACACCTTTGAGGTTATTGTGCCTCTTCCAATAACTGTCCTTTCTCAAAGCCTACCACCAGACAATACAACCATAAGTTAGAATAGGCCTAACAACCGATGTGTAAATCCAAATATTTCCTATATAATTCTTGCATGCTTAGTAGGCATTTAGTCCTTTTTCATCATTTCCTAAGTATCTTCGTTCCATAAAAGCTTGATAGCAAGCAATACCTGGAAATTCTGAAACACGAGCTCTCCCAGCGATTCATTATTGGCGATTTAGGAGACGGAGGAATTCTGAATCCATTATGTTCCAGTCCTCAGCTTAAAGTCTCTTATTATGAGACTTTTTTTTAATAAAGAGACTTACACTATTTCTCCAAGTAGATTCACTAAGTTGAGAGCTAACTATAGACTAATAGAAATTACTTTCCTCAAACAAATTGTAATCAATACAACTAAACCGATTGGCTTCCTCATGCCAGGAAGACATCTGGCATTAAGTAGTATGTATGGCACTTGGAATTTAATAAAACTTTGCCAAACATCACGATCGTTTTCTTAAATCTACAATGACCTACTTACCTTTAAATTGTATCCGTGGTAAACAAGTAGTATGTTTGTATTATTGTTTTTTGTTTTTGTAGTCATAACCTAACCTAACATTAAGTGTAACGACTGTAATTTAAGCCATGAAACCAAAAGTAAGAAGAAATAATAAGAAAAAAACGAAAGTAATAAAAAAAAAACAATTTTCTTGGGATGGATTTTAAAGTCATGCCATGTTACCAAGTTAAAGAAAAGAAGAAGAAGAAAGAAACATTAAATGTTATTATGTATGAGAGATTTTGAAGACCGCTCGACGGACCACTTGATGCATATTATATTGTAGTTTATGTAATCGTCTTTAAAATGAAGCAAAAAAAAAGGTTAACAATGTTTTAACAACAACATTGTATGTCTTTGTTTATTTGTGTCTGTGTTTTTTTTTTCTTCTTCTTCAGCAGACAACAATTGTTATAATTATTAACAATAACAACACTTGGGTGATTATCAACAACAACTACAAATAACAGAAACAAAAAAGTTATGTGAACAAAAGTATTAAAAAACTTTAAATTATATTTGCGAAAGACAGAAAACAAAAGAAATTATAAAAATGTATATTACTGAGCAGGAAGATTAAAAAAACAAAAACAATAAAATTGTAAGGAAATTACATAAAATCTTAAAGATATAAAAGGATTTAGGTTACTCATATGAAATTGCATAATAAAACCTTTTTTACAAGAACTTTGTTTTATATAAACAACATGTTACAGGCATTAATAGTAAACAAGTTGTTATATACAAAAGCTGTGAAATGTGAAAGTGCAAAATAGAAAACACTGTAGTGTTGACAATATTCCCTAAAGCAAAAAGTAAATAAATAAATAAAAACACAATTGCATTTAACGGTGACAAAATTTACTATTTTTTTTATTATTTTTTAATGTTTTTTTTTTGTTGTTTCTTTCTTTGTTTGTTTCATATTTTTATAAAAAAAAATTCACTTAATAACTAAAAATAATGAAGTTTTTTTTTTGTTATTGTTAACATTAATAAAACAGAGAAAAACTATTTACAATAATAACAATGCTCCCGCTAGGAAAATGTGAAAATAAAATAGACTTTTAGCGGAGAGCGGACGACTTAAGAAGATAGCTAGAAATGGATAGTGTTTGATAGTCACTGAGTTTTGGGAACTGTTTGGGAATGTGGTATGAAAATGAAAATTTGCAAAATTTTTCAAACAAAATTCTAACCTTAAAACGTTTAAAAATGTTTTGGAAATGAAAAAAAGGTTAAAATTATTGTTTTAAAAAATTTTGCTGAAAAACGGAAAAATTTAAGAAAATTGCTAAACATTATTATGAATATAATAATAATGATGTAACATTTTCAATGTTTTGGTTAAAAAAAAAACAACACAAATTGTTTTTAACTTTACACAATTAATACAAACATCAAATTCCCAGTTAGTTAATGGTGATGTTATAAGTGTTGCGTTTTTTTTTCTGGTAATAACGGTATTTTGACGAACCTCCTTTCACGTGTTAATGGCTCGACGGTTGTGCAGGGGTTGCTTAATTGTTGATGTTTGTTCTTTTGGTGTTTGCTGGGGTGTTGTTTTTTTTTCTTTTCTTTTTCTATCGCTTTAGCGTATCCGTTTTCAGAGGCGTTTGTTTAATATTGGCGCGCGTTTGTCTTTTCAATTATTTGGCAGCAATTGTTTTATGATGAATTTGAAATGTAATCTACATTATGCTAAGAAAAAATAACTAACGGTTGAGCTTAGAATGGCGCACCGTAGCTACCGCTGGGTCTTGAGGGAGCACCATAAGAACCCGATGGACCACTGGGATAACCACCGAAACCACCACCGCCGCCACCACCAGCTTGTGTGCTTTGTTGGGCGAATTGAGCAACTTGGATGGCTTGACGTACACCTTCCAAATCGATGCCAACAACGCGGCCGCCGCCGCCACCACCGAATGAGGGTACACCGTATTGTGGCGAGGGAGCACCATATGAACCAGAGGGAGTGCCGGGGTAGCCGCCGCCACCACCACCACCACCGCCGCCGCCGGATTTGCTTTCTTCTTGCAACAAGATTTGACGCACTTGTTCGAGCAATTGAGGATCAACATTTTGGCCTTCATTGGTTTGGAAGCCACCGCTGACAGCTTGATAGCCGCCGCCGCCACCTCCCAAGCCACCACCGAAACCACCGCCAAATCCACCGCCGCCACCGCCACCACCACCGCGCTGATAATTATAACCCGATGGAGGTTCTGCTACGACCAGTGCTGCCAAAGCAAACACCAAGAACTGCAAAGAGAAAAGAGGAAATCTATTAGCCGCCATACATCTCTTAATTGTAATCCTTTGGGGGCAAATATCCTTTTTTTGCTTTTGGATTTTATGTGAAGATTTAGTTTTTTTCTTTTGGATTAACTTACCACGGAGAAGGAGTTCATAGTTGTGAGTCTTGTGTGTGGGGGAAAGAAGTAAAAAACTTAAATTAAAAAATAAATTTAGTTGCTTTCAAGTAGGGAACCAACGACTGAATGCCAATGAAAGGCCACAACAGCCCTCTTTATAGTCAGACAAACATCATCAATTCCACAACATAGTGCAAGAGACGACGACGACAGACCTCTCAGCCACAAACGTACAAGCCAACATACTGCAAACAGTGACAGTAAAGCTTCTCTCATATGTTGTTGTTGTTGTTGCTCCACTGATCATCATGTTGTTGATGATGATGATTACGATCGCTAGCAAAGGCTTTAAAGATGGCTACAAAAAAACGTACTTTATTTTGGCTTAATATTTTACCAGCTTATTTTTGTATTAAAGTTTTTATTTTTAATTTCGTAGCTTTGATTAAGAGGGGGCAATGCGTGCGTAACTTTATTCGGTCATAATGTTGTTCATCTTCTCTGTGCTCCTCTACGCTTTAATCGTCATTGTCAGCAGCGTCAACCTCAATATGGAGTTTAAAATCTTCATGATTTTCATAATGATGAGGTTAAAATTATCTTGCACCCTCTGGTCTATACAAAATCGTTTTTCATTAAGAAATAACATTTACAGCAAAAACAATCATATATTTGCAGTTAAAACTATTTTATCTGTTTTTTTTTTCATTTTTTGCTACAAAATAAAAACAAACACCTTTTGCTGCTGCTGCTTTCAATAGGAAGTGATTTTGTTTTGGATTTTGTTTTTGTTTGTTTGTTTTCCAATAGCCAATATTTGATTTAACAAACGTGATGAAAACATTTGCCCACCAACCTCTTATTAAAATGACAACTAAACTCTGGCCCCTTAATTAAACAAAAACTAAATAAAATTTCCTTAAAAATTATAGACTTTTTAAAAAAATTTTGGAGAATTTTTTTAATTTTCATTTGGGAATTTTCTTTTTTTTCTTCTGTAATTCGAATGCATTATTATGCAACTTGTTGCAAATTGTTGTGTACATGACACATGACAACAACAAGGTGTATTTGTTGTGTATGCCAGCAGAAGACAGTGTTTCCCATAGATGTAATGTTTTGTTTTTTTATGTTTACTTTCCCAAGCTGCTTCTTTTTCATTAAAATGCGAATAATTTGCCGCTTAAAACCACAAATCCCGAATAAGTAATGTATTTGTAAATATTACTTGAAAGTTTCTGTGGTTTCTTTAAACAACATACTAATTATACAACTATAAAATTAATAATTTGTATATTAAGCAGTAATTAAAATTGAACTAAATTGAAGTTATATAGAAAAGATATCAAAATTTTCAAAATATTAAAAATCGTCCACACCGGATAGCACCATGGATTAGTACATAGATTTATAAGTTCTGGAGATTCTTACTCGGTTGTTAAGCATTAAAAATACTCAATACTACTGTTTTGGAACACCGACAAAGATTGATGAGAACCAGAGTAGGCATAAGAATAAGACTAAAGCTGTGTAACGGACCAATCAGCTCTTTCTAGACTCCAGCCATTAAAAATGACTTCCAGTCATTAAAATTTACTGAATACTACTGTTTTGGAGGTTAGGCAACCCCGACAAAGACTGATAAGAACCAGAGCGGGCCTAAGAATATTACTAATGTCGTGCAACGCACTGATCAGAAATTTATAGACTCTTGATTGAGACACTTATATTTGTGATCAAAGAAAAAACTGCATTCAAGGAGTTGAACAACTCTGCTCCAACGCAAGGATATAAATCAGATCTCTTCAGAACAGAACACTTTTTAAATCACGGCGAGAGTCCCTTCCCCAACTCTGGAGGATGAAGCAACACTAACACCTTCAGAATAAGAGGAAAATATATAGAAGAAAACTCGGCGATTGAGAGGGACCAGGAAAAAGTTAAAAAACTCTGAATCAGAATAGATTCAGTATCAAAACTAATTGATTTTCTCTCGATTTATTTCGGTCTTTAACAGCGTCTGGGGACTTACGAATAGAGTTGACTTCAATGCCCCCAAATATTCAATGTTGTGTTTTAATTCACAAACGCACTTCAGATGATGTGACTTTATCTATAGTTATTGAGGAATCAGTAGCTCTTAATATCACATCACTTGACTTACATTTTCTCAAATCAATACAGATTAGTTTGGTCCATCTTTTCCACCTCAAACTAATAGAATTTCAGTAGCATTCGATTCATTAAGATCACTTAAAGGTCTCAAGAGATTACAATTTCACCCACCGAAAACAAGGAGCACATTTACTTCTCTAATGTCATACGATTTAAAAGGATTTGATTTCGTTTAACTACTAGGTTTTCCAGCTTTAACTAATACACCAGAATTTTAGAGAATACTGCAGTATATATAATACAAGGGTAATTCTTAGTTATGTATAAGCACTCTATGTTCGAAAACTTCGACCAAATTTTTATGAAGTTCGTTGAAAATCCTTATATTTGAGTTGTGGAGAAGAAGGTTAGTTAGTTAGTTTGAAAGGGGGATGTAAATATATCAAATCGGAATAAATATACCTAGACCTCTATTGGGCCTTTTGTGCGCTCCTTAACCAGTGCCTCAAGTGGGAATCGAATCCGGTCTACCAGACTAGAACACTAACCTACCGGAGGCCACGAGAATAAGATAAGCCTACTCTCTTGGATCCATAATTGGACACGATTTGGTACCCGATATATATCGCCTTTCTATTCGTACAACTATCCCTCCATGGTAGGTGTTGTGGCAAACCTACTTATGGCACGAATAAACAAATCTATCTTACGAATGTCTATACATGAGAAATCAGCCAATTCGTGCAAGAAGGTACAGTCCATAGTGTCTAATTTGAAATCGAACAGAGCAGGACACAAAAAAGTTTTCGAACGTTTCCTCTTCATGTCGCCGTTAATTGGAAGATTTAGGAGTTTAAACTACACTACTGGCTGCCACTAGTCTCATCCATGAAAACCCTATCAATGATATCAGAGCAGTTCTATATAGTTTTTTCTGAATAAGGAGGTTTACAGCATGAAAGCGAGACACCGACAAAAACGTTGATGTCAATTTCATCAGTTTAAGCTTCTTCATCTGCAATCTCATATTAAAGTGACCCGGTATACTGAACAATTTCAGGTTCAAATGTTAAGAGATATTTGACATTCAGGAACCAGTCTAGATGTCGTGTAGACAAAAGAGGGAGATATATATAAAATCCACCACCTACACCCTCTTTGACATGGATCCATTCTTAGCTGCTTTTAGTCTAACCCCGAAATTTATGGCCACTTGTTTGACCATAATATCATCAAGTATGTATCAGCACAAAGATGGTATAAGATAGCGTTAACCGGAGTTATCATAAGCGTAGAAATAATCTTCTCAATAATGATACGATAGAGGGATCTGTCAAGTACCTTCTACCAAACAGATACTATATACATTAGAACGGCTAAATGGGAGGGGAAGAAAGAGCGAAATTGTACACTATATTATCGAAAATTGGTTATACTTCAGCCATAAGTCCCCGTTATGTAGAAAAAATTGTCTACGATCAAATTTGAGATCTAGTAATTAAGAATCCCTGCAATTTTTTGCAACCAATGCATATTTAATATTTTCGGCAATTGTTTGTGTATAAATTTTCTTATAGGTAACCGGTATCGTTAGGTAGCATCTGCCTCAAAGGCTAATTGTACTCGTAATATTGTATCTTTTAGTAAAAGTTGTATTTTTTCAAAAAAAAAGTATAAATTTACTAAAAATTTACATGTACAAACAATCTATCTGACTGTAAGTATGTAAATTTATATGTGCAATTGTAGTTATGTAAAAAAAAAAAAATTAAAAACATTATTTATTAGTTATGACCATTAGTATTGTGGTATGAAATAAGTTTGGAAATTGTCATCATCACTCTCTTAAAGTGTTCAACTTGGAAAATTTATTAATAAATTGCGTTTGCTAGCCAAGTCGAGACGCGCAAATGTGTTTCACAAAACAAATTTTAACCACTACGTTGGCGTAAAGTTTTAGAAGTTGTTTGTCTGTATAAAACTATTATCTGTTACAGACTGTGCTGTCTAAATTGTAAATTTTAAAATTACTTACTTTCATTATTCATTGATTTAAATTGATGGAAATTTAGAGATGAGTTGAGTTTTTAGTTACAAACTAGTGTTCACACTAACAACTACGATTTGTATGCGAAAATGTTAAGCCATTAGATAAGTGTCAATGACTTATCTTAATTTCTTTTAACTGAACACATTTTAAGCTATTATCATCAGAAATTGTGATCTGTAGATTTTTAATTTTATCTTAACCTTCCAATTTTTATAAAACACCTATTTGAAAATTAAACAAGCCTAATTACTTTAAAAATCTTGCTCTAATTTTTATGGTTGTACATCACTCTTCATGCCCGCTAAATCCCTGATGAAATAAAACTTTATTTAACATTTTTCTAATTAAGCTTCTTCGCTTTAAAATGTATTAGATTTCGCTGAATTTTACAAACCAACTGTATTTATTATGTTTAGTGAGGAGTTTACAACATTTTTAATTAATTTTAATTTACACAAAGATTTACACTAACAAATACAAACTTATAATATACTTTATAACTATAAAATGTAATAAAAATATACTCTTATCCACATGGCTTTAAGTTTTAAAAGAAACATTAATAATGTACTTAAAACAAAGTAATTTACAAAAAAGAAGAATGAACGATCTGAAGCGTAAATGGGTTAAATGCACAAACTGAAACCAAAGCAACAAGTTAGAGTTTGATAGACTGTTAGCCCGGTTTTTAAATTAGCACTGTAGTTACATTAACCCTATCTACGACTTCACTCTTCTGTAGTATATCTCGATTGGGCCTGTTGCTCACCCCTTTACCCTTCTGGTGGAAATCAAACGCAAAACAACCGGTCTGACAGATTAGACAGTAACTACCAGTGGAGGCAAAGTAAGTAAGTAAGTAAGTAAGTAAGTAAGTAAGTAACTAACTAACTAACTAACTAACTAACTAACTAACTAACTAACTAACTAACTAACTAACTAACTAACTAACTAACTAACTAACTAACTAACTAACTACTA